ACATCTTTCTTAGCCAATTATGGTTATCATCCATGACTTGATACTTTTGACTTTTCAAAAGCTGATAATCTTGTGGTAGGAGATTTGACAAATCATTTTTCAAAGCTACATGCAACAATAAAGGCATAGTTAAAAGAAGCTCAAGAATGACAAAAGATCAATGTAGATGTCTATAAAAAGGAACAACTACAATTAAACATGGGCAACAACTATGGTTACTTCATCGCAATATCAAGACCATTCATCCTTGTGATAAATTGGTCTATTGTAGACTTGAACCTTTTCTTATTTCTGAACAAGTCAATCTAATTGCATATTGAATACTCTTACCAAAGTCAATGAAGATTCATCCTATATTTCATGTATCTCTTTTTGAACCATACAAGAACGTGAACATATCGAAAAAAAGACAAGTGCCACCTCATCCTATAGAATTAAATAATAATAAAAAATTTGAAGTAGAAGAAGTCTTTGATTCAAGGCGGCATCAAAATAGATTGAAATATCTTGTTCATTGGCTAGGATACGATATTAGCAAATACACATGGGAGCCAACAAAAAATCTTGTAAATGGAGCAAAGAAGGTAGAAATTTTTCATCGATGATATCCTTCAAAACTAAGATGAAGACCTTTCCTATAAAAGAAACAAGATCTAGGTAAGTTAACATTCTACCTTCTATACTTATTTGTAATTCTTATGTATTTGTGATGCTAAAGAGATAAAGAATCAATAGCTAATACATTCAACTCAAGAGCTTTTGTTTGTCGACTTGTGAGATAAGACATTGTGATTATCACAACCTTCAAGATGATGCAATCGAGATGAAGATCCTCAGGAACAACATATTTTTTCTTAAATAGATGGCGAGATATAATACATTTGATATCATGATCTTGGAAGAGACTCTCGATGTTTGATAATTTTATTAGAGGTAGGAATAACTCCTGATAGTGTTACAAATGTTTTATTTGAAGGAAGTTATGAAATCCTCAACAATGATCAAATAATAGGGTGGTCTTTCGGCCCTGGTATGGGACACTATCAATGGTTGAGAGGCCCTATCAACTATCTTCAAAGAGAACAAAGATCTGAATATGTGGCAAATACAATTCATCGTATCATAGATTTCTTCAACATATGATGACCGCTCTTCATGGAACTTGTTCCTAAAAGGGAGGATAATGTCATGAACATATACATATAAGTCAATAATTATCCATATAAATAGATAGAAGTAAGTAGTACATAGAAGTAAGTTAATTCTATATCTTCTATAGAAGCTTCCTAAAAGTTTCATAGAAGCTACTTTGATTTTATAGGTGTCTATAATTGACTTTTTGGATTAGAAATGTGGTCAACAAGTTAGCCATGTGCCATACATGTTGTTAGCTTGAAGACTAAGCTAACTATGTGGCCTATATGTAGAAAAATTTGCCTTGTAAGTTAAGGCATGTGTTTTATAAAGTCAACATATATTGGAGGTCCTGTAGAATATTGCCATGTAGCTCCTAGTTAGATAGTATATATAGAAACAAGAGTGAACCCCTCTTCACTCTTATCAACTCTATTCTTGCTTTTAGTCTAATTTCAAGAGTCTTATGTTTTCTAGTCTTTGGTAATAGCCATTCTAGTTCTTCCTTGAATATACATACTTTTTTCTATTTTATCACTTTCCTTTTGATACAGATTCCACGAGTTTACGCATCTTCTTCCAGTTTGTGTCCTTGACAATTATACATTAAATATATATGATCACTATTTTCACATGGTAGCGGAACCACAACATGACAACGTGGTTAACTTGTTGACTAAGTTTTTAACTGACTAATCAACTACAAACACATGTAAAGACAAGGTAGTGACTATAAAGCTTTTAGGAAGTTATTCTAGAAAGTATTATAAAATAAATCTACTTTTACTTACTTCTACTCAATTATATAGATAAATACTAGAATAAATATGTATATTTGGGACAACTAGTGGAAAGTGTTGTGTATTATATTAATTAAAATAGGAAAAATATATTGGTATTTTATATTAGAAGATATTACTCATAATATTATAATGTCTATTTAATTATCATATATATATATAATTAAAATTAGACATACATATATATAAAAAAATATAAAATATAAAAGTATAAAATATATATATTTATATTTTATAAATAATCATATATTTATATTTTATAAATAATCATATATTTATATTTTATAAATAATCATATATTTATATTTTATAAATAATCATATATTTATATTTTATAAATAATCATATATTTATATTTTATAAATCATAAATTATCAAATTAAATTTTATGTATATATATATATATATATATATATATATATATATATGAATTTTAAATAATCATATATTTATATTTTATAAATAATCATATATTTATATTTTATAAATAATCATATATTTAATTTTATATGATTATATATATATATATATATATATATACACACTTTGCTAAATTAAAAACATCCACATCTATATATGTATATATATGTATATACATAGTCACATACATATAACAAAAAAAAAAATTATAAATAGAAAAATAAAAAAGACAAATAAATCTTTTTATTGGTCAATGACTTATATAAACCTTAAGTAAAGTTTTCATATGTAAAAGAGAGTTTTTATAAAAATATTTTTAACATGGAAAGAACAAGATAATCTACAAATGTTTATAATAGTGGTGGTGCCCGCAATATCAAAATAGTCATGAAAGCTTCACTTTCACATTAAGAACACTATTAAATGGCATCAACTATCTACATATGAGCAAAGGTATTAATAGAATAATACAAGTAAATTAATAGAGATAGTTGGATAACTTTTTTATTTACAATCTATGCTTTTTATAAGTATTACTTGTGTGATCAATTGCACATAGAATTCCACCATTGTTTCACTAAATAATTAAATAAATATATATATATATATATATGAATAAATAAGGAAAAACCCATGTTAGGCACAACAATCTTTGGCACTGCCATCCATCCATTTGCTAGTTCATCCATGTTCCGCCCATGAAAAGACTTCTTTAGGTCTTTATCTTATACCTATGTTGTTTTATATAATAGATACATTAAAATAGAGATATGTAATAACAATAATAATGCAGTGAACATGGAGGGGAAAGTGAGCGAGGAATGCAGGCAGGGGAGAGAGCCCAGTCCACAAGTACAAGAATGGGCGACACAAGCATCACTCTCGTAATGGAGCGCCAGCTCTTGCCAAGCGTGTGACCACCCACTCACCCACCCACTTGCTCTTCATCACCATCACTCACGCAACAACGCAACGGATTCATGACCACCACGCTCCCCATCCCCTCCTCCTCGTCGTCATGGACGCCGCTGCTGGTGCTGCCTATTACCATCCCCAGCGAAGCCAATGTTCTCTACAGAAACTCCACTGCCCTGCACCCTCCACGTATGTGCCGATTTATTCACACCTGGGAAGCCCGGCACGGATGTCGTGCACCCAAGCAATACCCCCCCCCCCCCCCCCCATTGCCTTTGGCCTCAGCAACGCCCTTGAACTCATGCACTGCTGATACGCCGATGACGATTGCGTACAATTATGAGAGACTGAGCGATGCTCTCATGTGCGAGACGCTGACTGTCGGCTCAGGAGTGTTGATTATCAATTGACAATCAACCAACTTGAGAAGCGAAGAATTGGTTTTTAGTTGGTGGGGTGCTGCATTCCGATTTCTCTTTGGTTGGATTTGAAAGGACTGATTCGTACCCATTTCGCCTCGGTCGCGTAATTACTTGTTTGGGAGCCATATGGGAGACACAGTAAGATGGGAATTACCGTACAGGGCACTACCCATGTGATTGAATGTTTAGGTGTGCCCTGTTTGAAGTAATGAGCTTCGGATTGGAGTGTCAAGAGGGGGAAACGTTACCGAAGTTAAACCAAGTGCAAGCATCAGCTAGGGTCAGGTAATATGGGCTTGCTCGCTAGGTAGTAGAATGAAGCTGCTTTGCATGACTGACATAAATGGCGCTGGAATGATGAGAGAAGCATTATGTGTGAGGATATCGGATCGTAACCTCCTAGCCAATGCACTCGGAGAACACCACCCGTATGGAGTTAAGAGTGCCGGGAACATGGATCAAAGTGCATGTGAGCCCTTCGAGTACTATAAGCTAAACCACAAGCTTGTAAGTCTGGAAAACATCCAACACAATCAAATACTCACTGATGTCTGCTGCGAGCTTTGATATGCTAAATAACCCAAATATTGGTCAAATAAAAAATAAAAACGTCAAAAAGACAAAGAGAACTTAATCAAACAAGGAGTAAGCCAGCTGGATCTGACAAGCAAAGTTGATAACTTGATTTCTTTGTTTTACAGGCGCAAGATTACATTACGAGAAAGCTCACTCGGCTAAATGTACAGATCTTCAGTGTACCAAAACATGGTGATTTTGTTTGTAGTAAAAGCTGGCAGAGTACCAGGAGTAACAAGGAGATTGACTAAGCGCCAACCTGCAATTGTGAATGATATGGCTTTTACTGAGACCTGGCCCTTCTAATCATTGTGTCCATTCTGCTGCGCTAGCTTAAGTTGGTTTCTGTTACCACGACATCTTACTGTTTACACAAGATGGTCCATATCCAGAAACGCAATTGAAGAAGAGCAGAGAAGTTTGAACTTGAAACAGCCAGTGTCTCAGCTGGAGTATATGCATGGATGGAGGAGGATAAGCAGCCTGTCAATTCACTTCCTATGGAAATGATGCTTCATGTCAAAAGAGTCCTCATTCCAGGCTCACCACCTTCATGTGGTTCAGATTAACGCTGTGATGTAGTTGAGCCACTCATCTCCAGATTCCACGTCCTCCAATTTTTACAATCATGGACTCAAATATTCACTTAGTTTCCCAAGAACTCTGAAACTTGAAAAGATGCAGTCATTTAGGGTTGATCTCCAGAAAAAGCACCACTATCGAATCAAATTTATAAGAAAGTTTGAAGGACTGCCAATGAGACGCAGTATCCTTGTGAAGAGCATAACATCTAAACTTCAACAGTGGAAGAGTTGTCTCACTTAGTCGTTTCAAGGGTTCTCTCATCCCGGAACTAGTGTTATCTGAGTGAAATCTTGGGATTCCCGAGCAACTTAATTTGTGTACTAGAGATTAACTGATGTACTTTCTTTTGAGCAGAGCTTGACGAGAGTGGCTGTCATTCTGTTGTCAACTGGTCGTCTGGGCAGTCATAGTTTGAACCTCAACGGAGCACTGCAGGGTATGTCTAGTCGTCTCATGAGAAACAGGCAGTGGTCTTGTCATGCGTGACTTCGATCAACAGCAACCCATTCCCTTGCCACCCCTCTGCTCTTTCTCTCACTATCAGTCCTCCCTGGAACCTGCTGCAAGGCGTTTTGGAGGGAAATATCTCATGCAAATTCATAAGGTTTATAAAAACGAAAGACCACATTCACTCGTCAAGGGCGTGCTGCCTTTTGAAGCTGTGTTTTAGCATCCTTCGCAACCTTGGTATAGTCATCTCGTGTTTTCTGGTCACTCAGACATAGGAGCTAGTCCCTTTCTCCTCTTGTGCCTTGTTGGAACTCAAGATCGAATTACAAGGCTCAATCTTAGATGTGCAGTACTGGATAGCTAGACTTGAATCATTGGTGGTCGTGTGTGCAGCATCACTGTCATTAAGCTTGAAGTCCAAGCTGCTTCGTTAGTGCAACAGTTCAAGGGTTTCAACTTCTTGTTAGTACAAAAGGCAGCTGGAGTAACACGACCTCTTGTCCCTCTATCTACTGGATAATGGGTCTTTGTTTACCTGCTGCAACTACCGCTCTACAACGTCGACCGGGTGCACTGAGTATCAATTCGTGCATATATTTTCTTTTGCGGTGTCTGAAGCAGATGTCTGGTTAGATCTCTCGAAGTAGTCAAGGACGAGAGAGCAGACAACAGATAAAGGTCTTTCATTTTCCAGTGTTTTGTCATGAACGCTGGAATTGTGAACACGCACGACATAACTGCTCAGAATCCAATGTCATCCCAATCTTCAATTGCCTCGCAGTGTTGACGCTTCTGTTCTTCAACTGCAAACACTAGTACGAGCTTTGGAGCTAATAGTTGCTGCGTGCAGTCTAGTGATTCGAAAGTTGACTGTTCATGGTACCGATGGCACGAAAGATCGAGACACTATTTCCTCTACAAGGTCGCATGTGCTGGCTTATAATTATTCTGCTTCTGCAACCATTTCATAAGGGGGCTGCATTGGAGTACGCTTGCAATTTCGACAAGGATGACAACCTCAAATCCATGAGATTCTGCGACACCTCCCTGTCTGACGAAATTAGAGTGTTTGACTTGGTCTCCAGGTTGACATTGGAGGAGAAGGTCACTCAGCTGGTGAACACAGCCTCTGCCATTCCTCGCCTGAGCATTCCTGCTTACGAATGGTGGCAAGAAGGTTTGCATGGAGTTGCTCATGTTTCCTTCGGTGGATCACTCCCCAGGGCCACGAGTTTTCCCCTGCCAATTCTCACGACGGCGTCCTTCAACAAAGATCTGTGGAATCAAATTGGCCAGGCCTGTGTTCAACACCCTTCACAGACTCTCTCCCACTTGAGCCTATCGATGAGCAACATACACGGCATCAGAATGCGAACAATCTGTGTAGCTATATATAATTGTAGAATTGTGTAAACGACTCGACGCACTGCTCATCAATGGGCAGCAGGTGGAGATTAGAATGCAGCATGCTATTCTTCTATTTCCTATTCCATTGAATCAGTTGGAAATATTTCGATCTCTTCTGTCTCTGAGTAGGGTTCATGTTTCTACATTGCAGGTAGTTTCCACCGAAGCACGAGCATTTTACAACGATGGAATAGCGGGGTTGACGTACTGGTCACCTGTGATAAATATAGCTCGAGACCCGCGGTGGGGCAGGATTCAAGAAACCTCAGGCGAGGATCCATACACCACGAGCGCCTACGCCACCCACTTCGTCCAAGGAATGCAGGAGGGCGATGCAAACTCAAAGAGGTTGAAGCTTTCAGCGTGTTGTAAGCATTTCACAGCCTACGATGTTGATAACTGGGAAGGCATTGATCGCTACCATTTCGATGCCAAGGCAAGTGAAATTTTGTTGCAGACGGCCTTCAAATTAAGTGATGAGTTGCAAAAATCAGAAAAAATAATTGCGCTAATCCATCGTTTGTCGATTGAATGATGCCAGGTGACGCTCCAAGACTTGGCAGACACCTATAACCCGCCATTTCAGAGCTGTGTGCAAGAGGGGCGGTCAGCGAGCTTAATGTGCTCATACAACAAGGTGAATGGAGTTCCCACATGCGCAAACTACGACTTCCTTGAAAATACTGTGAGAAGGGCATGGGGGTTGAATGGGTAAGATCAATTTTCATACCTTTGATTGAGCTGCGACCCGGATTTTCAATAAGAAGTTTACATATTTTACTGACATTAATCTCATGGGAGTAGGTACATCGTCTCCGATTGTGATTCCGTGCTGGTGATGCACGAATCCACAAACTACGCGCCTACCACTGAAGATGCAGCTGCTGATGCTCTGAATGCAGGTAATGTCTCGCTACGCATCCATGAGATTAGCTCAAAATGGGTTTGAGGCCTCTAAATGGTACAACGTTGGCTCTCAGGTTTGGATCTCAATTGCGGAGACTACCTCGCATCCTACACTGAAGGAGCTGTTGCAATGGGCAAGGTCAATGCATCGAGAGTCGACAATGCAGTGTACAACGTTTTCTTGGTGCGCATGCGCCTAGGGATGTTCGACGGAAATCCAGCGAACCAAGAATTCGGAAACATAGGAGTTGCCGATGTTTGTACACCCGCCCATCAGGAGTTGGCTGTGGAAGCAGCACGACAAGGCATTGTCCTTCTGAAGAACGACGGAAACATACTCCCCCTCTCTAAGAACATCAATACAGCCGTGATCGGCCCAAATGCGAACGCAACACACACAATGCTTGGCAACTACGAAGGCATCCCATGCCAATACATCACCCCACTTCAAGGTCTGGTGAAGTTCGGGAGTGGAGACTACCACAAGGTATGGTTCTCGGAGGGATGTGTCAACACAGCCTGCCAGCAAGATGATCAAATCTCCTCGGCTGTCTCCACCGCGGCCGTTGCAGACGCTGTCGTTCTCGTTGTGGGTTTGTCTCAAGTCCAAGAATCCGAAGCTCTTGACAGAACAAGTCTCCTCCTTCCAGGTTACCAACAAACATTGATAGACGAAGTTGCTGGCGCGGCTGCAGGGCGTCCAGTAGTCCTCGTGCTAATGTGCGCAGGACCAGTTGACATCAACTTTGCAAAGAACGACAAGCGCATTCAGAGCATCCTATGGGTAGGTTATCCTGGCCAATCTGGAGGTCAAGCTATCGCAGAAGTCATCTTTGGCGCGCACAATCCTGGAGGAAAGCTACCCATGTCTTGGTATCCGGAAGATTACACTAAGATTAGCATGACTAACATGAACATGCGGCCAGATTCGAGGTCGAATTATCCAGGACGCACCTACCGATTTTACACTGGCGAAAAGATTTACGACTTTGGTTATGGCTTGAGCTACACTGAATACAAACATTCGTTTGCGTTGGCTCCGACAACTGTGATGACACCTTCGATACATTCCCAGCTCTGCGATCCCCACCAAACATCCGCAGGGTCCAGTCTGCCATGCTCCCAAGCACACCAAGGTGAACTTCATTTTGCTTGTTGCAAAATTCAAATGTAGGCTGATTTAGTTCATGTTCTTATTATCATGTTCTGTACTGATATTCAAACGAAAAAATTCATCCTCACACCTCACATTTTGTCTCAGAGACTTGTTCATCGTCCAATTTTGATGTGCACATCAATGTGGAGAATATTGGCGCGATGGCTGGCAACCACACCCTTCTCCTCTTCTTCACGGCCCCCTCTGCAGGAAAGAACGGAACTCCACTGAAGCAGCTTGCGGCGTTCGATTCGGTTTACATCAGAAGTGGAAGCCAGGAGAAGGTGGTGCTCACTCTCAATCCGTGTCAGCACCTTGGAACTGTGGCGGAGGATGGTACTCGCATGCTGGAGGCTGGCAACCATATTCTATCCGTTGGTGATGCCAAGCATTCGCTGTCTGTTTTATTTTCAGACACATCCGGTGCCAGATACTGATTCTTCTCTCTGGTTGATTCACTTCGCGCACTAGATTTTCTATATTCTGACTAAAGTTGCTTTCGAATCGATTTGTCCCAATTCATTCGCATTCATCGGATTAATTGGATTCTCCAATCTGAGATTCAAGATCTTAGTAGTCTAGATAGTATCAGAATTGTCATTTGCGCTCCCGTGCCGTCCCAACAGGACTAGCTTCTGCTTGGTCTTCGCCGACGAGAACTAGAAGAATAATCAAAAAGACGTGCTTACTCACGTTACATGTAGATTTAGGGTTTGTCTGGAATGTATAGAGAACATGTAAAAAAATGATTCGTGTCAACCCAGATATTTGTGCACTGCATCAATTGTTTAGAATTTTCCTTGCTGTTCAAGAACAAATCGCCGTGAGGTTGGTAATCAGACGTTTTTGTTGCTTAATTTCAAGGACCAACCATATCATGTGCATGCGTGTCTGCTTGTTTAAGTGACTAAATTTAGAGGTGATGCTAAAAAGCTCTTCTTCACAAATTTCGGAAAGGCAACTATCTCACTACATTTATGTCTTTTTTGACAAAGAGAAAGCTATGGCAGTTAATATTCCCCGACTCAGCTACTCTTTGTGTCTGTCAATTGAGCCTTCACTTGGAAAACATGTCTCTCGCGGTGATTTAATTAAAAATTCCAGAACTTTTTTGTTGTACTCCCAGGGTACCTCAGCTTGGGGTACATGCGCAGCATCTTTCAAGATGACCAAGTCTGCTTTATCGCCAAGGCTTCTGCAAAGGAGAGAACGAGAATTCCAGGTGTAAAATATCAACACAGCGGGAAAATTTCTGAAGTCTGAAAAGACCTCTCTAGAATGTAGGAAGAGGGTCTCGGAAACTTACTCCTTTAATCTGTGGGCATAAATTACGTTGAAGACTGGATCATGCTCACCCCATATCAGGAGAACCTCCTACAATATTTGCAACATTACCGACTGTTTAGCTTTCCGCAGCAGCAGAGATTGTGTGGTGAACCAAATTGTACAAACTTACGCATTAAGTATTTGTCATTCCAATGCAGAAGTACACACCTGATTAATTTTAGGCAGTGGGGGTGCATCAGGTTTTCTGAGCTGTAGACCATCCAGCAGCTCGAGCTTTTCCTTCCTGTTCACGTTGAATAACACCTGCAAATTTGACAGCGTTTAGAACATTTGTTCATTCGAAATGCGCTGAATCTAATGGTGCAGACTAAAATTAAGCCGCATGTTTCTCCAGTAGCACTGACTAACATTTAGTACGTCGTTGCAGATGAATTCGGGAACGGTGAACGGTGGCTGTTTATAGAAAGCCAAAATACTGGCTCTCCTAATACCCTCGGCGTCATGTGGTTGCAGGATTTCAGTCACGTCCTTCGTCTTGAACCTCCTCACCATGGCCTCGTCTGTCTCTGGTGTCATGTTGACAGCAGAGCTAGAAATCACAAGCTTTTGCACGGCATGAGGATACATGTGAGCCATTCTATAGCCCACAAATCCGCCGTAGCTGGTACCCACGACACAGAACTCTTGGACATCCAGATGTTGCAGAAGCTTGTATACGCATTCTGCTTGGAAAAATTCAGTTCTGGCCTTGTTGGTGGTGAAGGATCGTCCTGCGAACAGGAGGTTGGGAATGAAAACGTCAAAGGCGCTGGAGAAGCTGGACACTTGTCGGCACCAAGTGTGAGAGTTGAGTCCGAAAGCATGAAGGAGCACTAAGGATGGTTTTTTGGTGGAGTACCCTCCTCTGGTTTGTCTCGCTCCGTGATTCTTTGGCATCCAGCATTCCATGGTTGTGCCATTGTCAAGCTCCACAAGTCGGCTATGGAGACCGCAAAAGTTCATGTATTTGCCTACGCAGAAGTTGAAGATCTGCGTAGGGCTGAACCCGAAAGGAATCCCCATCATTGTTCTAGCGCAGGCTCTTTATGAATCTTCGGCAACTTGACCTATTGCGAGTGTCACACATATATGAGTATCCTATCTGCAAGTAAACCATGCGCTAAGAGCACCATTGGAAGGATTCTTTCCAGGCAGGTTTTTGCGCTTACGCTCAACATAAAACTCACGATAAAAAGAATAAATTAAAATAAATTAAAAAACACTCCGAATATCGAGAGGACATCACGCAACAGCAAAAAAGAGTTATTTCGAGGAGTCATGAAGAGGACCAAGACTGAGCTACTACACTCCAAATGAAATGAAAACAAAACTCATACCCTTCAAGCGCACCCCCACTTCGAAAAAGGTCCCAATCAGACGGATCCGTCTACACCTGAGCATGTGAACATCAACATCAAGGTCGGTACAAAGCATACCAAATTCACCACCCCACTCCATCACCTCAACCTCAGGATCACACATTTAACCTCACCACACCCGCCCACGCACACTGGCACAATGCACACACCACATCACGCCATCAAAACAACACAAACGCGGCGTTCGGTTCTTGTGACGCTCACCTCAGAGACGAACTGCGAAACAGGGGAAGAGGGAGTAACATATTCTTCCAGCAAACGCCGAACCACCACCACCTCTCCAAGATTCCCACTTCCTCAAACACCGTACCAGAACCTCTTCGCCGCGAGGTAGAGGTAGAGCCACTCCTGCCTGCAAGTCTTGATGGTGACAACGACGGTGCATGCACACTCTTAAGAGCTCCCCACTGTACTTCAGCGGATTAAGTGATGCACATGTGATCACGCACAGAGTGTGCAGTGCTGCAAACTCTGTCGTCCTCCCCCCACCCCCCACACTCTGTGTTGTGGTGGATAACTGCAGACCAGCCATGATGTCAAATCCTGGCACGGCTTGAGGCTGAGACTACTCCATGAGACTGGATACACGCTTGTCTCCGGCGCTGGCTCCTAAATAAATCCCACAGGACAGCTCCTCCCCTTTGTTTTTCCTCAGTTGTCTGAGCGTCCTTAGAACTGTTCACCTTTTCAGAGTTATGTGAGATATGGCTTTGATGCTGCTGCTGCTGCCGTTGCTAAAGCTGCTCTTTGGTGCAGTGCTACAAACCCACTTCGGTGGTTAGCTTGTACTGTCGCTGTAACCCACTGGCTTGAAGTGCACCCACATAGTTTGTTTCTTTGTTCATTTTCAGCGTTTTATTGCATAGTTGCAATCGACGATATGCAAACCCACTGGTGTTGTGGTTCGACTGAAATGGTGACATGTCAACGAGGATAGAAAATGGTGCATTTTTGCATCTATTGAAGTAGTGTTTACTCTATTTTAATTAATTAGAATGCATTGCTGTTTGAAAGTGTCAAAGATTTATGAAGAATTTACTTTCCAGGTAAAAGGAAATGTTCAATCCTCGGAAAGTTTGAGATAGTAAGTTTTGAAACATCACATTATCTTGTACATCCAATGGATGAATTTAAATATTTTGTGTGTTACTGTATGTAGTACAGTACTTGTGACACACTGTGAATTACATAATAGCCAATGTGGTTAACATGTTTAGGTTGTCAAAGTCATTTGTATCTTGAAACACAATAATAAAAAAAAAAAAAAAAAAAAAAAAACACATTTTCAATTGTTTAACATGTTTTTTCTTTACTTCCATTCAAGTGGTGCTAGCTACTTCTTTGCAAAGATAAATTGTAAAATTAAAAAAATATCTAGAATTATAAAATAAAACTTGGAATTTAAAGAAGAATATCTTATGACAATACAAGCTTGAAATGTTAAAATATATATATATATATATATATAAATAAATTAGAAATATAATAACGCTAAATCATAGAACAACATTCTAGAATTTTATTACTTTTAATAATATTATAGTAGAATAATAAAATTTAAATCTATAAGAAATTAAATTTAAATCTATAAGAAATTAAATTTAAAAAAATTGATATAAGATATGACATCAAACTATTGAGGTTTTTATATTATTTAGAAGGTCACTAAAAATAATTTAGTAAAAAAGATGCATTTGATTTCTTTATGGTACATATTAAAATAATAACTTCATATTCAACTACCAAAAGTTGTTGCAAAAAAAAAAAAAAAAAAAATGTTCCAAGTAAGAATAATTTATAAAAATTAATCAAGAATCATTAAATATCACTTTTAGATAATATTGAGAATTTTAATATTAAGGTTTATTGAAAGAATGTCAGGGATATGAATCATGAAAAACTAAAAGGCCAATACATTTTTATGTAACTAAAAAAGAATACATAATTACTCAAAGATGATATAATATTAAACTAGAATGGCTATTGCCAAAGATAAGAAAATTAAAGACTCTTGAGACAAAACCAAGGACAAAAAAAATATTGATAAGAATAAAGAAAACTTTACTCTTGCTTCTATATATACTATCTAATTAGAAGTTATGTGGTGGCATTCTATAAGACCTTTGACATATGTCTAACTTGTAAGACAAGTTTTTTATATGTGCGCCACATAATCAACTTGTACTACAAGCCACCAACATGTGTGATACATGGCTAACTTATTGGCCAAATTTTTGACCCATCAAAGAACTACTAATACATAAAAAATCATATCCATATCTATATAGCTTCTAAAAAGCTTCACCTTAAGATGTTATCAAAGCTACCTATATTTATCTTCTATCAATATTTTTTTATTTAAGTAATTTAGTATCACGGACATATGTATTTATTCCAATAATTACCTATATGATTAGGTGGAAATAAGTAAAAGTAGATTAATTTCATATTATCTTTTAGAAAAGCTTCTTAGAAGCTTCATAAATGTAATTTTGACTTTATACAAGTTTATAGTTGATTGATAGGTTTGAAACTTGGTCAACAAATTAACCATGTACTATATGTGTTAGTAGCATAGAAAACAAGCTAACTATATTGCATATATATAGATAAGTTATCTTGCAAGTTCAGATATGTGTCTTACAAAGTGAACACATGTTGAAGGTCATATAGAACATTGCCATATAGCTTTTAATTAGATAGTAAATATAGAAGTAAGAATGAAGCCTTCTTCACTCTTATCAATGGGTTTCTAGTTCTTAGTCTTATTTTAAGATTTTTCAATCTCCTTGTCTTTGGCAATAGCCATTCTAATTTAATCCTATATCATCTTTGAGTGTCAAGGACAAGAAATTAATAAAAACAAATAAACGAGTGAGACTTTTCTCAAAGAAAGATGATATAATAAAAATAACTAAATATGTATATTAAAAAAGAAACTGGAATGGCTATTGCTAAAAGATAAGAAATTTAGAGACCCTTGAAACTAAACTAGAAGAAAGAAAAGAGTTAACAAGAGTGAAGAAGGCTTCACTCTTGCGTCTATATATACTATCTACTTAGAAGCTACATGGCGACGTTCTATAGGACCTCCATAAACGTGTTGACTTTGCACAACACGTGTCTCAACTTGTAAGATAAGTTTTCTCTGTAGATGCGACATAGTTAGCTTAATTTGCAAGCTACCAACATGTATGGCACGTGATTAACTTGTTGACCAAGTTTCTAACCTACTAATCAAGTATAAACACATATAAAGTAAAAGCAGTGTCTATGAAGCTTCTAGGAAGCTTTTCTACAAGATATTATGAAATTAATCTACTTTTATCTACTTCTACATATTCATATCACTTAGGTAATAATTATAGTAAATATATGTCTTTGATATTACTCCCCTTCTATGGATGAGTTCCACAAGGAGCGATGATCACATGTCAAGGAAGTGTCACGGACACAGAGTATAGACTTGATATCTACTAAGAAGTTCAAGAAGAACTGGCAAGAACTAGATTAATCAGATGAATATAAGAACAACACAAGAGAGGTGAGCTAGAGCTCCAAGAGATGTGTTGTCGAGACTAAAGAACTCTTCAACCTCGATTCCAATATATACTCCTATTTAGGAAGCTTCTCAAGTAACTTCTACCAACTAGGAAGCTTCTAGAAGGTTCCAGAGACTTGCTTCTAGAAGGTTCTAGAAACTTATCTCTAGAAGGCTCTAAGGACTATGTCCCTAACATCTTCTACCAACTAAGAAGCTTCTAGAAGGTTCCAGAGACTTGCTTCTAGAAGGTTCTAGAAGCTTGTCTCTAGAAGGTTCTAAGGACTATGTCCCTAACATCACTCCCTCCTTTAGCTTCGAGGTCTCTGAGAAGCAATGTTGTTGTCAATCAGTACCAATGCAAGAAAATGAAGATCTATCGCATAACGTCTGCTATGAACTCCAACTGTTGTTCACGAGGTAAGTGGTTCATCGGTCCTTGAAGCCAACGGTAGTGGCCCACTCCTTCAACTTCTGACCAAGCATGAACTTCCGTGTCTTCATTATGAAATTGTCCTCCAAATATGCCTTCTAGTTGACCATCGTAAGTAGGCTCAGACTAAAATACAATCACCGGTGATCGGTTACTTGGTATCCTCCGTCGTCGTCGTGGTGCAGGTGGTTCTTCATCTCGGGGTTGCCTTTGTGAACTAGTTGGTTGAGATAATCTGACTGACATAGTATCTATCTCTTGGCTATCCATATCAGAAGACCAAACTATGGCTACTGAAAAAATTCTATTTTATCTTGGAGAAAATAACTACATCAACTACGAATTTTGGTGGTGCTCTCCCCCTTTCTTATATTCTTGGGTGAGCAAGCTTCAAAAAGAAGCTATTGTCGAACCGACTTAGGTTTATGAGGATGTTGTTGATGAAACTCCTGTATCTTTTGCGGCGCATTGGTGAGATTTTCAGTTGGCTCCCATGTTCGCTCATTAATGTCGTAGCCACACCAATGAACAAGATACTCCAACTTGTCCCACCTTTGCTGAGAATCCAGCACCTTTTCAACCTCGTATTCCTCGTGGTTCTCGACCTCAATACTAGGTGGCGGACATTGCACTCTTCCAAGAAAAGATGACTCTCGATAAGGCTTCAACAAGGAAACATGAAAGACTGGATGTAACTTCATAGAAGCTGGTAATTCCAGACGGTACGCCACTGGATTGATTTGCTTTTGGATGATAAATGGTCCCAATCTTTGATAGTCCAACTTATCACATAGTCGCTTGGTCTTGATATTCCGTTGAAGAAGCCATGCTTTATCTCCAATTTTGAAAGTAGGTGCTTGATTTCGAAATCTATCTGCAAACGCCTTGTAGGATTTTTGAGCGGATTGTAATTGAAGCTTCAACGTATTTTGAAGCTCTGATAGTTGTTTTGCAAATCCTTCAGCTGCTGGATTGTTATTTGTTGATGGACTCAATAAATCAAGCTTTGAATGATACCCATAGGTGGAAAAGAATGGTGTGTATTGAGTCGACGCATGAAGGGTGTTGTTATATGCAAACTCGGCTAGCGGCAGATATGTGGTCCAATCGTCTTGCTGATAGTTGATGCTGCATCGTAAGTATTGTTCTAAGACTTGGTTCACCTGTTCTGTTTGACCGTCAGTTTGAGGATGAAAAGCCAAAGAAAGCTTGATATCCACCTTCAGTATCTCAAAGAGAGATCTCCAAAACTTTGATACGAATTGGGTTCCTCAATCTGATATGATATCATCTGGTAGTCCATGATATCGATATACATTATCGAGAAAGAGCCTTGCTGAGACTTCACTGGACCATGTCTTCTTCCAAGGGACAAAATGTGCCATTTTTGTAAGTCGATCTACCACGACAAAGATGCTGTCAAATGAGTTCGATGATGGCAGGTCCGTGATGAAGTCCATGGAAATTGAAGACCATGGTCGACGTGGAATCGGCAATGCCTGTAGGAGTCCATAAGGGCGATGCCGAGGATTCTTGGATCTTGAACAGATGTCGCAGGAGAGGACAAAATCTTTCACATCCTTCCATATTTGGGGCCACCAAAAATCTC